CCATGGGTAGAGTGCAACTATCACTCCTACCAGGGTGACATATGTATTTTAACATAGTTTCCTTGGAGGTAGTTCCTCTCTCTGGAATTGGGCTCTCACAGTGGGGACTTCATGCTCTGCAGGAGACTCTTAGGGCAACTGGAACTTTAAAACCAAAACTTTATCTTAACTCAGGAGGGATTGAAAATCCTCCAGTGGTCTGAAATATAAGTCAGTGGAAAAGCAATTCAATCTGACCAGGCTTTGTTGTCACCTGCTTCACACAGGCACCATGATAAAAACCATGAGCAGAGCATTTGGGTCATGCTTGTGATTTCTACATGAACTGTATTCATGTAGAATACCAAATACCAAGAGATTCCTAAAACAAAGTTCTTTATCTCTCCCATGTATTGATTCCTTACCCCTACCCCTGCAATATTCTTAGCAGCAAGCAAGGTGACTCTGGCATAGAAGAGGGTCTCTGGCTTATGGCTCACTAGATGGAAACATAATATAGAGATTGAAGGCAAAGCTCTCTGTGGGTCCCAAATGTAGAGGCAGAGCAGGGATGCAGAAATGTCTAAGAAAGAGAATAGTGGAGTTGTCACCTGGGATTCAAGGGACTGTCTGTATATTGGGTGGACTAAGTGACCTCTCCACAAGTCAGAATTTCTCTGACACCATAATACACCCCAGGTCTGTATAGCATTATACTCTCTGTGCTCTACTCGACCTTTCTTACTTCTCACGTGAGATGCTGCTGTGTGCAGTCCCTTATAAATTTCCCTAAAAGCTGAGGCTTGAAACCAGTACTAGTAGTCAAAATACTTAATAGGCATAATCACCTTGTTTCACAGATAAGTTCATTGAGACCTCTTTCATTTATATTGAAGAATTTCCCCTATTTGGTTATTTGGGACAAGTTTGCAGCATCCTCAGGGACACTGAGTATTCTATGTTTTCATAATAGCTATATCTTTTCAGACGTACTAGCCACGTGTCAGCATTCTTTCTGACTATTCCCCACTATTGTATTACGTACAGATAAACTTACAGAAGAAGAATTCATCGAAGGAACCATGGCCAATAAGGAAATTCTGCGACTGATTCAATTTGAGCCTCAAAAAGTGAAGGAAAAAGTGAAGGAAAAGAAACCCTGATGCAACTACTCAGCTTTCCTCCTCATCACACACACAACAATATTCAAACCAACTCTCTCTGTCCCTCTTGCCTTCTCCCTCCTCTCGCTCTCCCTCACTCTACTTTCTCTCTCTCTCTCTCTCTCTCTCTCTCTCTCTCACACACACACACACACACACACACACACACACACTTAAACACACAGGGGCTAAAATGTGTGCCTCCACACTCACAGCACATCAAACCCACAGCCCAGTTTCCTGATACATGGAAATGTGTTTATTGGGCCACAGGTTCTTTCTTTTGTGTTTAGAGCCTTCCTGTGATAACTTACCCCCTCCTCTACCACTTTCTGCCAGTCCTACTTTAGTGATAATCTCAGGATTAAGTCACAGAAGCCTAAATGTGACCTTCTTGTAAGCTCCTTTGTAGACTGCTTGGTAAGCAGGTTCTAATAAATGCAAGAGTTGCTGGACTCAGAGCTATCTAGTCTTGAACTTGCTTATCATGGGTGGAAGAAGGGTATGATAGTAAGTTAAGTGTTCAGTGGGACTAGAATTTCATTTCTAAAGAAGAATAACTCATTTATGTCACTGAATATGGTTTAAATGATGCTTTTTGCCACAATAAAATGTCACTGAACCATTCCTAAAAGTATCAATGCCAGGTTTATTCAGATCTAATCAGTCAGAATCTCTGAGTAAGGTCCATACATCAATCAATACTTCTAATAAGTTTCCCCATGATTATAGTTCTGGAATTGAGATTCACTAGGTTGGAATTTCAAAGCAAGAGACAGTGAAGAATCTCAGGCCAGTCTATGAGAAAGGAAATATTTGCCTTCTTATATTAGACTGCCAATGTCTAGTCTTGTCCCTACACTTCTGTACATTCCTCTTGGTTCCTGAGAAAATTGACCATCCAGGTCTCCAGGCTAAATGCCACTACCCTTTTCTCTCCAGGGGAAAATCTATTTTTAATTTAGTGCTAAAGAAAAAAAGAAAATGAAAGAATTTTTAAAAACATATCAATGAAATAAGCTTGTTAATTTAATCATGAGTGGGACAAAGGCAAGTAGTGTATAATTCTAATCAATTTGTAGAGTGGGGTGCAATTTCTAGTTAGTGGTAAGGCCTCAAACAATTGGGCCCAGATAGCATCTGATGCCACCAAGAAATAAGTATATCTCACATTATTCAGTGAATGTATACCAGGTACCACTCTAAACAGTTGTTCTGATTTCAGACTGAGAATATAATGTGCCCCAGATTTTGATAAAGGGTGGATATATTTGAAGAAATGAAAAATTAGCATGCAGTTTCAAACTACTGAACAGTGAATAATTGATACACCAAAAAAAATTAACCTCTGCTTTATTATGAACCCACCTGATGCCCTTGCTTGAGCTTCCCCTTTGATAAAGCAAAGCAGGGACTAGGGAGAGGGCAAGAAAGACATACAAAATGTAAAGAGTCGCAAAAATTTAGTAATCAGGAAATATTCTAATGTAATAGCTTAAAATTAAAGTATTAAGGGGCTGGAGTGATAGTACAGCGAATAGGACGTTCGCCTTGCACACAGCTGACCCAGGTTTGATTCCCAGCATCTCATATGGTCCCCTGAGCACCGCCAGGAGTAATTCCTGAGTGCAGAGCCAGGAGTAATCCTTGTGCATCGCCAGGTGTAACCCAAAAAGCAAAAATTAATTAATTAATTGAAGTATTAAAATAGTTTAGAGCTGAAGATGTAGCTCAGTGGTAGAGTAACATATTTTGCGTGTGTGCAATTCCTGGCATGCATACAAAAAAACATTCACGATGGGCAAAATTTCAAATGTTTAAATAAAGTTAGAATTTAAATAAAGTTCTAACAAAATTAGTTTTTTTGGTGTATCAACTTTTAAATAAAATTAGAATTTAAATAAAATTAAAATTCTAATTTTATATCAGCTGTTTATATCAGGTGGTACCACTTGTATCACCCTCATCCAAACAATATTTTTAAAAATTACCCACAGATTATAGAGTATTGGATTTTATTTATAAAATATTATACTAAAATATGCTTTATATTGACAGTAGAGGCTTTCTACTACTGTCTTAAATTTTCCACCTAAAATGAGTTCTTCATTTTCCTTGACCTATCAACAAAAGAAATCACCAGCTAGACCCTACTGCAAAACATCATTAGAGTAAAACATACATGCTCAATTAAGTTTGAATTTATGATGCATTCTGAGAAAAGCATGGGATATGCTTTTGAAAGAACTGTGTTTCTCTTTAAAGTGTTCAATTTAATTGAACTTCTAGTATTTTTACTTGCTAAATCTGGCAGTGCTCCCTGGGAAGTTTAAAAATGCCCTTTAGTATAATACTGGGTATAGTCCCAGGAAAACATAACCCATCACAGTAAGTACATCTTGCACTATATAAAAATGATGTCACTTTTATAGGGTACTAACATCCTGTTGCCAACAAGAAGTTCCTCCATTGAACTTTCCTCAGCCTCTTGCCTTAGACACTCACTCAAGATACTGACCCTAATCGTACAGTGCCTCCACTCAGATCCTGGACTGCCCTTCAGTATCCTCATCAGAAGTGCAGTCCCACCAATCCATCTCTCTTAGTGCCACCTTTGCATTTCCACATCATCTACAGAACTATCACTTTATGCATGCCTTTTCCAACTTTCTGAGTCCATTTATGTATGAGTAGAATTCTTAATAATTAGGGACAAACTTCCTGGAGTATGAAATATGGCCACCAGTGTATCAGTCATAGGTACAAACTGATAAGAACATACCTCACCCCAAGAGGATGGTAAAGTAGGTAAGGCTCGTAGACGACAAAGCCAGAGAGGCACGTGGGGCCCAAGGGGATATCAGGTTCAATGCAGTTCTGTAAGTGGTGCCTGAAGTGGGACCAACTCTCATGGAGAGGGTGGAAGTTACCAATAAAACTTGCATGAACCATTGAGACCGAGAAAAAGAGAAAAGTGGAAGAAGGAGGTCAGAAGAATAATTCCAGGGCCAACCACACATGCCTTATAGGTGGCAAAAAAAAAACCTCTTGAATTTATTCCCCAGCACTTCCAGGTATAGTTCTGGAGCCCCCTGTAGTACTGCTTAGGAGCCTCTGACTCTCCACAAAAAAAGAAAAGAAAGAGGAGTAGGGTGATGGTAGAGTGGACTGGAGTGGTGGAGTGGTGATGGGAAGTTCTACAGTAATTGATAAGGGAAAGCATTTCACAGATGAGCTTCTAGAGGCAAAGCAGCACTGGATTCATCTACCAGTCAGCTCAGGAGCCTTCTAGTTGCTGCACATTCCACACATTGTTTTCAGCTTAGTATTACTTGAGAATTACCTGGCGTGCTTGTTGCTAATTTTACATTGCTTGTCATTATCTCACAACCTCTCTTAGAATCTCTACTATGAGTTGGACTTTGGATGTAGAACATTTCCCAGGTGGTCCTTAAACACCCTCAAATTACTCCAGATGGAAACCTTTTACTAGGAGGAGGTAAAGTAAGAGATACTCTCTGACCTCTAATTTACAGAAAGCGTTTCTCTACAGCTCAGGATTCCATTCACTTGAATTTAGGGTGAGCTCAAGAGACTGTTGTTCATTCTGGAGGAAAAAAAATAATAAAACATGTGTGGATAATTGGATAACTTAGGTGACCAGGACAGGCAGTGTATTTACATGGTCACTTTCATGCAGAACATGGGGGACTGTAAGTAGAGTTCAAGTCAAGTGAATGTAGTGCACACAATAGAATACTAGGCACACCAGCAAACTGCCACAATTGAGTCTCTCTTCCCTCCACTCGGCCTTGCCAGGGGTCCCCAAGAAACAAAGCCAGAGCATCGATCTTCCTCCTATATCTCACTCTCCTCAAGAATCTCCTCCATAGTGTGAGTGAGGGTGATGTCCCCGTCACTGCTCTCTGACAGACTGCTACCCCGGGGCACCCGGGCTCCCAGAGTCCCAGAACTCTGTAGGGTCAGGTGTAGTATCTGACCCCTGCCAGGTGAGGGCTGCAGTGAATTGTCTCCCTCGGAGAACTTCTTAGGACATTTGCCCAGGAATCGGAAGTTCTTCTCTAGGATCCAGGCTCTACAACCAGACTCGCGGGCTAGCAGAAAGCGAACCCAGTGCTTCCGCAGCTCAGTCTTCACCTGTCAAGTGAGAGGAAGGCAACGTTACTATCTTGGATTCATTGAGCAGTATTGTGTCCACTCAGCAAGAATTTATTGAATGACTTCTTTATGTCACCTTAGGAAGTATAAAGTCATTTCCATGATGGGAAAGGAATGTAAGTCACTGTCCTCCCATTGTTCATCGATTTGTTCGAGCGGGCCCAGTAACGTCTCCATTGTGAGACTCATTGTTACTATGTTTGGCATATCGAATATGTCACGGGGAGCTTGCCAGGCTTTGCCGTGGGGGGTAAGATACTCTCGGTAGCTTGCTGCGCCCTCCGAGAGGGGCGGAGGAATCGAACTCAGGTCGGCTTGGGTGCATATAAGGAAAACACCTTACCCACTGTGCTATCGCCCCAGCCCGGGAAAGGAATAAAGAAAAGCAAATAAGTACTTGCAACACAGTAGATAGGAAAGACACAGTGAGGCCATTAAGCAGAACAATGAGGTAACAAGGCAAAAACCTCAGATCTCATGTTCCAGGGAGGGAATGCCAGAGTGATATCTGAGATCTCTGTAATGAATGAGGCATCTGGGAAATATAGAGAAAGGTAGTAGTGTTCGAGATGGACGATCATTTCACTCTTAATGAAACTTACACTTCAGCAGGAGACAGAAATAAATTAAAGGAGTGCAGAGGATAAATGGGGTATAAAACCATGATGACCTCCAGATCACATTCGGAGACAGCTCTGGTCTTTGTTGTGCCAAAGATTTTTGAGCAGAGAGCTAGTCGGGTAAACACAATGATAGTAATGATAAAACTAGTCATCAAAACTTACTAGTCATTAGTAAGTTTGGGGCTTTTACTTTGAACTCAGCGTGATCAAGACAAGTCTATATGACAGAGTTGATTATTATTCCCATTTTATAGATGAGGAAGCTGAGACTCAAAGAGGCATAGTGACCTGACAATTTACATAATACTTACTGAATGAGCCAAACTTGAATTCAGATTTTTGGATGCCAAACTTAAAATTGGTCCCTACATTCTCACCTTAATACTCCTAGAACGTCTCCAGCAGGGTCACAGGTGAATATGGATCTTATTTATATTCATTCCAATACCTCAATACCTTTCGTCCAAACTGCTTCCCCTTTCTCTTCACTGGAGAATTTCAGTATGACTTTATCCAGGTATATGCTCATCACTGCACATTTCTCCACATACCATCATCTACACAGAAACTGCTAGGGATAGTAGGATGCCAATCCAACTTCATATGAAGCTAGGATGACAGCCTGGAAAACATACCTCTCCATTGGCAAAGCAATACAGCAAGGCAACAAGAAATCCCTGAAACAGAAGGAAGAGATAGCGTGATGGTCTGAAGTTGAAAAATTACAAAGGCCTGCCCAAGTCAGCAGAGTCTTCAGAAGAGGCAGGCAACTATATTACCTGCATAAACTAGAATTAGCCATAGTGATTACATTAGCTTGTATTTCCATGAGGAAATTCAATACTTTTACAACTACCACCCATATCAGCCCTGTTTGCTTACTGCTAATAAATAATAAAATCCCATAGACGTGGCATCATTTGTTCGACCACACAAATAAGGTCACTCTCCCATTTCTGCTTCTCTGGAGTGAGTACTGAGACCCTTTTTTATTTTTTCATTTGACTTTCTGTTAAGGCTGTCAGTAATATGGCCTTCTTGCTCTTGAATGGTCATCACTACAATAGTTAGCACAAATGGTCAAAAGATTTAAGTTGTTTACAACATCTCAGGGGAGAAGGAGGAGTGCATTCTTTTTCACTGTGATTAGCCACATAGTTGATATCAACCTGAAAGTAATCCCATGAACATCTTTATAATGATCGAGGGAGCCCATCTGAAGAAGAAACCAACATAGGGAAAAGCAGAAAGAGAATGAAGGGACATATTTCAATGATCTGTGAGTATTCAGCTAAGGCTAATCCTCAAATTTTCCTTCTTTTATGGCCAGAGCTATAGTATAGCAGGTAGGGCATTTGCCTTCACACAGCCAACCAGGTTCAACTCCCAGCATCCCATATAGTCCCCCAAGTACCGCAAGGAGTAATTCCTGAGTTCAGAACCAGGAGTAACCCCTGAGCATCGCTGGCTGTGACCCAAAAAGCAAAAAAAAAAAAAGATTCCTTCTTTCTTCTTTCCTTTCTATGTAGAAAGGTATTTATTCAACCACTTATTAAGCGGACTGAAGCAGGCATGAACTCCACATTATTTTTTTTAATTTTGTATTGAATATCTGTGAGATAGACCATTACAAATCTGTTTATGATTGGGTTTCAGTCATACAGTGATCCAACACCCATCTCTCCATCAGTGTACATTTCCCACTACCAATGTTCCCCATTTCCTCCCACTATCTCCCATACCCCACCACCCCTTTATTTATTTTGAAAAGATACATCATAACATGCCAATGGTTTTCTATTACACATAGAGTGAGATACAATTTCCCATCCATGGAGGGCACGAAGGTGATCTGTGCTCTGTATGTATTATTTTTTGCTTCATTTTATACCATGTTTCCAACCACAAAGATCTGACTTTGTTTAGAATTCTTGTTCATTTATTATCTCTTGCTCTGTAACTTAGTATATCAAATTAATAAATATTTATCAACTCACAAACTTTCTGGCCAAGAATCTGGGAATATCAGTTCTAGACTACAGTCACTCTTATGGTTAAGATGTTGGCCAAAACTGGAACTACACATAATTTGAAGGTTTGGTTTGGCTTCTAAGATAGCAATCTCTTATGACTTCATCTCACAAGTCACACACTTTAATAACCACAATACCTTATTAACCAGACAGATAAACTATTTAATTGGAGGAAGTACCTCAAGGTTATGTCTAAGATGAAGATTATTTGAGGACATAATGGATAATGACTGCATGACCAAGTTCCTTCACACTTCCTATTTTCTGAAATATTTTACCCTCATATATATGCCTAACTGGCGTCTCAAAATTCAGATATTATTTCAAATGTCACCCAAGAGAGTTTGGTTCAACCACCCCAACTTTTAGCAGCCATTTAGTCACCATCAGAATATTATATTTTATATATTTTACAGCAAAAGAATAAATTCTTTTTTTTCCTTTTTGGGTCACACCCGGTGATGCTCAGGGCTTACTACTGGCTCATACACTCAGGAATAACTCCTGGCGGTGCTTGGGGGACCATATGGGATGCTGGGAATTGAACCTGGGTCGGCCTCGTGCAAGGCAAACACCCTACCCACTATGCTATCGCTCCAGCCCCATAAATTCTTATTTTCAACTTGCTTATTATCTGCCTTCTACTACCACATCTGTCACATCTGAAAACAATGGCTGGCATAGGAATTTAATAATATTTGTTAAATAATTAAGTGAGTAAGTGAGTTGGCTTTTTGTGTCTTACAATTGAAAGTCTTGCTATGTACAATGCCAGACCACTTCTAAAACATAACAGGACAGTTTCCTATGTATTCTGTTTTTAGTTTTTAGAATGTCAAGTCAAAAAGAAAATATTATTGACAAATTTTTATAGAATCATTGCTTAAATATTAGAAGTTTAAAATCAAAGACACTTTAGTTAATATTTGTTTCTATTGTCTTCTTTCAACTAAATGGTGATGATCACCATAACAGGTTGACTCTTCTTTTTACCTTATAATATTAATCTTACCCCTAATACTGGTAAGGATGCTTGTGCTGGAAAAGGTGTTGTAGTTTAAAAAAAAATTGATGGTTGCTGTTGTTTCTCCAACAACAATGACAACAATGCTCTGGAGGAATATTTGCATGTTCTTCCTTATGGAAACCGGAGATTTTCATTCTGATGGTCATAAATACCTGGATTTGGTCAAGTATGGAATTTTCCTTCTACATAAAACTAGCTATAAAACTAGTTATCCCCGGGAGCCAGAGAGATAAATACAGGAGGTAAGTCACTTGCTTTTCATGCTGCTATAGATGCCATAATCCTGGTTCAAATCCTGACACTACATGTTTTAAGCATGGCCGGAAATAACGCCTAAGCAGATCCAGGAAAAGTCCCTGAGCATTACCACATGTGTCCCAAGCACAAAACCACAACCAACCTAGCTAGTGCGACTTATAGCTTCAGTTAGGTTCATTTTTATGTATGTAATTTGGAGGTCCACAGCTGCTCTGGTAGGGCAGTAGGGCAGAGAGTGGATTTAAGCATGCCAGAAGTCTCACAAATGAGATCATAAAAGCAGGGATCCACATCAAAAATACCCCTTTCATTTCTTCAAGTTATTGATTTACTGTTTTAGGGATTTGGGGAAGTTTTGTATTATTCTAAATAAAGCATGGAAAAGAGTGGTCCTACAGAACATACAGCTTTTACTTCCTATTTTACCACTACTTGGAAATCTCCCCAAAGACTGTATGATAGCAGGAGGTTGGTTAACTCTCTAAGAAATAAGTCCTTGGTGGGGCTGGAGCAATAGTACAGCAAGTAGGTCACTTGCCTTGCACACAGCTAAGCCAACTTTGATCCCTGGCATCCCATATGGTCCCCTGAGCATTGCCAGAAGTAATTTCTGAGTGTATAAAAGGAATTCCTCCTGAGCATGACCAGTTGTGACAAAAGAGAAAGAAAGAAAGAAAGAAAGAAAGAAAGAAAGAAAGAAAGAAAGAAAGAAAGAAAGAAAGACCAGCGCTGTGACATCTTTGAAGACACTATTAGCTTCTATGTCATGAAGGGTTTTGCCAACATTTTCCTCAATGTATCATATAGATTCCGGTCTGATGTTGAGGTCTTTAATCCACTTAGATCTTACTTTTGTACATGGAGTTAGGCAGAGATCTGAGCCCATTTTTTTGCATATAGCCGTCCAGTTTTGCCAGCACAATTTGTTAAAGAGGCTTTCCCTGCTCCGCTTCACTTTTCTTGCCCCCTTATCGAAGATTAGATGCTCGTATGCTTGGGGGGGGGACATCAGTATATTCAACCCTGTTCCATTGGTCTACAGCTCTGCCTTTGTTCCAGTACCATGCTGTTTTAATTATTACTGCCTTATAGTAGAGTTTGAAGTTAGGGAGGTTGATTCCTCCCATTTTCTTTTTCCCAAGAATTGCTTTAGCTATTCGTGGGGGCTTATTGTTCCATATGAATTTCAGGAGTGTTTGCTCCAATTCTTTGAAGAATGTCATGGGTATCCTAATAGGGATTGCGTTGAATTTATACAGTGCTTTGGGAAGTATTGCCATTTTGACAATGTTAATTCTCCCGATCCATGAACAGGGGATATTTTTCCATTTCCTCGTATCCTCTTTTATTTCCTGAAGTAGAGTTTTGTAGTTTTCTTTGTACAGGTCCTTTACTTCCTTAGTTAAGGTGATTCCTAGGTACTTGATTTTCTGGGGCACAATTGTGAATGGGATTGTTTTCTTCATGTCTTTTTCTTCTCTTTCACTATTTGCATATAGGAAAGCCATGGACTTTTGGGCATTGATTTTATAACCTGCCACTTTACTATACAAGCCTATTGTTTCTAGAAGTTTCTTGATAGAGGTTTTAGGGTTTTCTAAGTATAGTATCATATCATCTGCGAATAGTGAGAGCTTGATTTCTTCCTTTCCTACCTGGATGCCCCTAATACCCTTTTCTTGCCTAATCGCTATTGCAAGTACTTCCAATACTATATTGAACAGCAGTGGAGAGAGTGGGCATCCTTGTCTCGTCCCTGATCTTAGAGGGAAGGCTCTCAGTTTTTCGTCATTGAGGATGATGCTTGCTGTAGGCTTGTGGTAGATGGCTTTAACTATATTGAGAAAAGTCCCCTTTATCCCCATTTTGGCTAGGGTTTTCATCATAAATGGGTGCTGGATCTTGTCAAATGCTTTCTCTGCATCTATTGATATGATCATATGATTTTTATCTTTTCTTTTGTTGATGTGGTGGATTATGTTGATTGATTTCCTAGTGTTAAACCAGCCGTGCATCCCCAGGATGAATCCTACTTGGTCATGGTGTATGATCTTTTTGATGAGTAGTTGAATTCTATTTGCTAGTATTTTGTTGAGAATCTTCGCATCCGTGTTCATCAGGGATAACGGCCTGTAGTTTTCTTTTCTCATGGTATCTTTGTTTCCTTTTGGTATTAGAGAGATATGGGCTTCATAGAAACTGTTTGGGAGAGTTTCAGTTTTTTCAATTTCCTGAAAGAGCTTGAGAAGAACTGGCAGCAGGTCCTCTTTAAATGTTTGGAAAAATTCGCTAGTGATTCCATCTGGGCCCGGGCTTTTGTTTTTGGGAAGGCTTTTGATTGCAGTTTCTATTTCGTTGA